ACAGACGTCTCAATTCGTCTGCATAGTACGTATCGTTTATGGTACGACCTTGCTCAATCATGATTATCCCCAGACTATCCCAAAAATTTGAAGCCATCATTTTTCCTGCTGATGGCACCCTCTTAAATTTCTTCGGAGGGGTGAGCCAGGGTGCTTCAACTGCATGTTCTGTTTTTTTATTCTGGATCGAAGTGATGGATACATTGTTACGATCCGGTAGATAAAATCAGGTTCATCCTCGTAGCGAGACAAAATATATCTTGAAATGTCAAGCCTGGTCCGTTTCTGGTCGTCAGTCAACTGTCTTAGCACCCATCAAGCGGAAACCTTTGACATGCCATAGACATCAGTCAGAATTGCTTGAACTGAACCAAAGCTTATACACATTTCCCTAGCAATGCTTCGCAGGTGTCGCCTTCTGTCGCACATTACCAGATTGTTCAAAACTTCGGCAGTTTCATCGTTGGTGACCTGGCCTCTTCTGCCGCCCAGACCGTTAATCATCTCCAATGCTCTCCCTGTCCCTCTTAAATTCAGCAGCCCTTTTTCTCACAGTGCTATAGGAAGGGGATCGTTCCCAAGAAGTCTTCATGAACTTCCTTGGGGCACATCCCTTTCTTACAGAGGTACTTAATGAGGACTCTGATTTCAACTTTCCCCATTTGGTCTAAATGACACACCCCTATACTTAAACAAAGTGTGTTTTATGTTACTTAATATGTGTAAAACTGCGTGTGACTCGATCAGTAATCTTCAATAAGATATCCGTATGTCGTATCGTGTGTAAATGTCAATGTAGTGGCTAGAAGATCATCTCGTATAATTAACGTAATGTTTTGTTCTGGAAAATTTTATTCTGTTCACGTATTCATGTTTATTAAAATTAAATAACATTGATATTATACGTAACAACTCTTTGAAGAAACGGAAACGATCATACGATTATTAAAACTGAAAATAATTTACTATTATAAAATACACATTAATGTGTACATGTATTACTAGGATGTATTTTTTGTTGGCTAACAATGAGAATATGAATTCAAGACTATAGTATCGCATTTGAAGTCAGTAATATATTAATTCTCATACAACAAGTTATTTTCATTGTAAATAAATAAATAAATAAATACGAAAATGTGTTTTCTAGCTGAAGCTATGGCAACTTCAGACAACGAAAGGTATTTGAGGTATATTTTGTTGTTGGGAAAAGGAGGACCATTGGTGTTAAAAGGGATTTTAAAACGTGAAGCCAAGAAAATAAGGAAACCATTATCACAAATTCTACTGGACAATAGTAGCAAACTTCGGCAACTAATACGGAATGACAGTCAATACGAATGCATATTTCCAGCAGCAGGATCTGTCAATGATGACCTAGATAACTGGGATACATCACTTTTGTGTTTAGTAATTCTGAATATTTTTGGAAGCATACTTACCCCTCAGGAACGAATCGATATTAAGAGTCTTCGTACATTTAGAAATGAAATTCACGGACACAGTGCATCACTTGCATTATCAGAAAATGAATTTCATCAATATAGAACTGATCTGAATGTCGTTCTCCTAAATTTGTCCTCAGGAATTGATCGCCAATACCATGACGAATGTCAAGAGCTAATTAAATCAACCAAGTCTGGGCCTTTAGAAATAAGTTCAACATTGGAGGACTTCAAAGAGTTTCAAACCGAACTCTTGACACTAATTAAAGTTGACTCTGGTGCCAACAGTATCAAATTAGATGACATATGTAAAGAAATCAAGAAGATACAAGGTTAATATGAATATGTTATCATCTAAATTTCTAAAATAACAACATATTTTTTTGAAATGGTAGACTTTTTGTGTCATGATATTTCATGTGTGACAAAATGATGATGTAAAAACCCGAACATTTTAATTCTTTAATTCTTAATTAATCATATAAGTTCAAATTGATAGGTAATATACTTTTAAAGATTATTGGAACATATCAAAATATACTCACTTAGAACAGTTAAGTAATCAAACGAAACAGTTATAAAATCGATTGTACTTCTTATATTGCATGCGTCCAGGTACGACTATGCAACAAAGGGAATTAGCTGAGGAGAACCATAGTCGTTTGTGCAAAATAGAAAATAGTCAAGACGAAATAAGACAAAACGTAGAAGGTAACATTTTATTGCTCATGTTTTAAAGCGAATTATTAAAAATATGTCATTATTTTATCTATCTATTTATGTATGAAAGCTCAGTTCATTATATTCATGTTTTTCTTTAGCTAAATGGTGATTGAAGCAAGTTAGAATCGGACATATACTTTTAACGATAATTGAAACATGTCTCTATATATCAAATGATACTCACATAGCCTCTTGTGAAATTGCTACTTTATACGAACTCAATACATGTATGTTATCATGTTAAATTATTAAAACGAGACTTAAATAAATTTAAAAAAAAACACTTTTAAAATGGATTGTATTTCTTATATTGCATGAGTTTAGTTACGAATGTGCAACAAAGGGAATTGGCCGAAGAGAGCCATCGTTATTTCTGCAAATCGGAAAAGGGACAGGATGAAATAATACAAATGCTAAAGCATGTAAAGGGTAACAATTTAATGCTCATGTTTTAAAGCAGATTATTGAAAAATGTCATTATTTTATCTATTAATTTGTGAAACCCTAGTGCATGATAATTTTTTTAAACTAAATGATGATTGAAGAAAATGAGCTACATTACAAGTTTGCACTGGTTTATTTTATATTAGACAATTTAAATTTTGATTTTGGGGTTTCACATGGCACCATAACAATAAAAACTAAACCAATATTATTTATCAATACAATTATTTGCATGTTTTAAGTATAAGCAAGGTTTTACAAAAATTTACACTTATAAATTACTCTTGTTTATTTGTTCTCATTATTTCCTTTTCTATTGTAAAAAATTCTCTTGTATTTTACAATGTTTCACAATAGTCTCCTGTGAGTTTAAGAATATTTTAGATACACAAAATAAGGGATATGGATTTTTTGAATTCTGGAGCTTTTATCCACCAGGCCTCGTATTATTATAACTTTTGCTACTTGCCAGCAGAAAATTACATTTGTCAAACAAAATATCTGGTTTGATAGAATGACTTTAGATAAATTAAATATTATAATAATTCTCAGAATACCAATTACTATTACAGCGTGTTAATATGTTAAACCAAGTTAACACAAATGATGCAATAAAATTATAATCATAATTATATTTTTCAAAAAATATCTTCACTTATAATATTGAGTATTACTATTCATTATAGAATGGTATTTTTATTCTGAAACCTGATTTTTAGAGATGCTGAAAAGAGAAGCTGAAGCAAGTACTAATGGCAATACAGATATTCAAGAAGGTAATATATTACCAAGTAAATATCCTTTTTTAAAAAATTTCTCAGGTTTACATTTTAATTACTTTGTATCTGTTCTACTTTTGCCTTTCAATCAGTTTAACTTTTCTGAAACAATCAAACATGTAAAACTGTCTATAGCTGAAATATTAATTTCATGAATTCTACTTTTATTTCTTTCTTAAGATGTTGAAACAGAATTACATGTCCATAGCAAAAATGATGAAACTGCTTCTTCTGCTGAGGATATGCTTGTTCAGAAAATAAACGAACTTCTTCGAGAAATCAATAGCGCACCTGAACCTAAAGCAATTAATGAGGAACATGTACGAAAACGCGTGCAAAGATATCTTCAGACACAAATACAATATCCAAATGAAGAGGAATTGACACTTGCCGTAATGGAACTGATGATAGATATATTTAAGCAATCGGGCACTACAATTCTCCCTGCAGAAAAATGCTGTATCCGATTTGTGGTAAGGTGTAAATCATACACATGTCTACTTGGACTTCTAGAATATCTAGAGAGTAAGGCATTCGATCAGCGCATTCAAGACATAGCCACCGCCTTGAGCAAACATACAGATATATCAGTATTTATTACAGTGGTGGTTTCAGCTCATAGTTTGCAGCAGATCAAGAAAAATCTAAGTAAGTTATCTTGATGTGGTAGAGCTTAGTGTTTTTGAAACAAAACAAATATTGACTTTTCTTTTACTGTCATACAAGGATTGTTTAAGTATGAATGCATCTAGTACGTTAGTTCGCTCAATAATGAGAATGTTAAGAAAAAATATTTTTAGTACGATCATGTCCGTTTTACAGCAGGCCGCCTTGTTCATTATAATATAGTAATTGTAAATATTATAATTAAGGTAGATGCGGAATTATTTATTTTAAAAAGCAGATAGATTTTTCATGAATAAAGCTTAATATATTGACAAGTGTCACCCTGCTTGTTTATTTTAAAGGCATATTATGCCGTAGAAATGATTTATTTTTATTTCTCAAAAGCTTTTTAATTTTGATGTACATTTATAGTATCCAAAAAGCTTTTGGCTAATTACCCGAACCATTTTTTCCATCTGTTGCATTTTGGCGTTAAATCCAGTGATAGTAAATTAGTATTTTGTATGAAAGTCAAAATACTACTTTTGTTTTTCTTTTTTCTACTTTTATTTTAAAATTTATTTTTTGCTACGTTCCTCGGGTTAAAAAACAGTTTAAACCATATTTTTAAAACATTAAAAAATTTTTCAGGGTTTGGGGGTTTTTCAAAAAAAGAAAAAAATTAATTTTTTTTCGGGGGGCAAAAATTTTTTTAAAGGGAAATTAAAATTAGGCATTTCCCCAATAGCCCAATTTCAAGCTGGAAAAAAAACAAAAAAAATATCAATTTTAAATGAAAAAACCCTTAAGATTAAAAAAATACAAAGTGTCTGTTGGCTTTTTAGAAAAAAAGTTTTAACATGATTTTTTTTGTTTCCCAACCCTTTTCAGTGCAAACTCAGATAACGACGGGTCTTGTAAACCCCAAGGGAAAACGGGGACTTTTACTCCCCCTTTCCGTAGTAAAAAATAAAAAAGTTTTTAAAATTTGTATGGAAATTTATTCCAGGAGGAGGATATAAATCACCATCTTCTTAACATTTCTAGAATTCTGTCAACAATAGTTGGTGGTAAATATAGAGATAACGTCCTCTATCAATTTGAAAAAGTTAAAACAGTCGCTGCAAAACATTGGTCAGTATTAAGTGCAGTATATTTAGTATAAAATAATCGTTCGATAAAAACTTTGGATAAAGTTTCTAACTTTTGCGAAATACTAGTCACGTCGCTGAAAAGAATGTTTCAGTTATAAATACTTTAATCATGCATGTTAAGCAGTGAATTAAATGGCGGTTATAAATATCTATTGATAAGTTCACGATTTTATTACCAACACACTAGTTTTCAATTTGATAACATTGTGTATAAGCTTCTTTATTTAACTCAACTATCTCTCGACAAATTACTGAAGTTTTGGAAATACCACAAGCATAATCATGGTTCTTACTAAATATTCTTACTTTAATATTGCTTCAATCTATTACTTATCACGTAAAATATATGAAAAGATGTTTTTTATCTTTCAGAATCGAAAGACCCTCATACAAGTCATGATGAATCTAAAACAGTTACATCGGAAGAAAAAATTGACGAAGTATCTACATGTAGGTAAGTGTGTCTCTAGGCAAGCTTTAAAATTATCTTTGTCTCCCCTTCCGCAACACGTGCCAGTTTTGGTAGGGTATGTAGGTCAATGAAATATTTTTTTCATTTTCGTAAATTCAAAAGCTAAATAAGTTACCCTCTGTATTTGTTTGTGTATTGTTATTACACTTAAATGAATCGCAAATACATTATACCAACAATTCCAGCGGACGATTCAGTCAATGAAAACACTGACCAATCTGCCAATATTACGTGTGCATGTGAACATGCAGTTACTAGTATTTGATGTCCATTGCATTTGACGAAAAAAAAGAAGCACAAAGGTTTACATTTGCTAAAATATGCTTTAATTGGTGCGATAAATTTAACGTGCACAAAACTTTTGTCGGAGATATTGAATGTCTTGAAGTTCGGAAATTGTCTATGTCGTGTTTAAAGTATGTTAACAGAAACGAATATATTGCTAGAGCTACACAAACAACATATTGCTGAAGTAGAAACTTGATAATTGATTGCACTGTGTTATACGCTTTCAGATTAAACGATGCATTACTGCTGTCTTTGGCATTATCAGATGTATTCGATGACATTGGTGTTAATGAAAAAAACGTTATGAAGGAAAGGAAAGCCGTTGAATCCCTTAGAAATATATCAGGAAAGGCACACGAAAGGATTTATCTCTCTGGGAGCCATTCAGAAGGTACAACAACTTCAGGATTAGATTCAGACTTGGATGTTTACATGCCAAGGAATGACATTTGTTTGAATCAGTCTTGCGATCAAAAGAAACATAAAGTGTTTCATGCCATTCTTGTACAAAATGAAAATATGCCTCCGGGGCATTATTATTTGCAAAAAGAAATGTTGAATATTTGCTCTAATTATGTCCATACAGCTCCTTGCCATATTAACGTTTGTATACCCTGCTATGACAGGCGGGTCAAGATTGGTTCTAAGGCTTTTCTAAAACCAGAATTGAAGAAATATTTACATGACAAAGAATGTTTTTTTTGTGGGCCCTTTCCCCCCCAGGCCCCTAAAAGAAAAGCAAACTTTTTTAATGGGGAAAAAATTTCCACTCATTTGCAGAAAATTTCCCGGGTGTTTAAAACTAAATTTTAGTACAAATTAGGGGTTTCGTCATGATTTAAAAAAAAATTATAGAAATTTACATTTACATCCACTGTTTCGTTTAAAAAATTCTAATGCTGTTTACAAAGCAGTTTTATTTTATTGCATAGAAAATTCAAACCTTGAAATATGGCGCGAATATAACTTTTGGTTGTGTTTATCCAACTGCTTGAAGGTTTTGTATCAATTTGTATCATGTGGTAGTTGTCCGCATTTTTTAGACTGGGATGATAACCTAATTTCTAGACAACTATCACAAGCAGAGAAAGAATTGATTGTTCAAAAGCTTCAAAATATTTTGCAAGACGGTTGGCATTTTATTTTTGGTATTGAAATTGATGGTTTCGGTCAAAGGTTGAAAGACAAATGTTTTCTTCCTTCAGTGTTGCTTCCACGTGAATATTCTTGTTACAAAAAATTATGTTCTTTCTTCAATGATTGCTATCATATAAAACTTTTTTTGCATATATTGAAAAAATCAATAATGTCAAATCCAAAGCCAATGGAAGATGTTATAATCATATCAAATCCAAAGCCAATGGAAGATGTTTTAATCATATCAAAACCAAAGCCAATGGAAGATGTTTTAATCATGTCAAATCAACAGGCATTCGAAGATTTTTTAATATTTATACAGAAAGTTTCAGATTTAGCTGCGTTGTCGCAAATGTGTTTCCATGTTATTAATAAAAAGCAGAGCTGTAATTCTCCTCTTGCGGCCGCTCTGGAAAATCTCCACATGACTCCTTATAGATCCCAAGACAAAACAACAACCAGAAAATCAAACAAAGAAAGAAATGAAGAAACAATGTGGTGGTGACAAAATTAGAAATTGATCATTGAAGTTAAGTCTACTTAATTAACTTTTACAGAAAACTTTGCGCTGTTAATCAAGTTACTTGTATTGTTCAATTTCGTAGTTGTGACTAACATATGTGTATCAAGAATATGTGAAATTCATAGTACATGTATTTAATACAATGTCTGTGATTCCAATATTGTCATATTTTCAACTAGGTATTATTGTTTAAACTTCTATTGATTTGTTTTGATAGGCCCCTAGACTCTTCGTAAGGATATTAAATAAGTGAAGGCGTGATACTGAATTTGTTGAATGAATTGAATAAAATAAAGACTGGCATAATATTATTTTATTCAACAAGTTCATTTAATCAAGTAGTAAAACTACACAAAAGTAATATTCTATTCATCACATATGCAAAACGGTAAAAATGAATCCATTTTTGATTGTTTCTGGGACGGCGTCTTAAATTTCCGGTTTGTATGTGTTGGCTGTTGTTGTTATTTTATATTGTTCACAATCATGCTGCATGACTTTTACTTAACGTGCCTCATAAACGTTAGAGACAAGTAATTTCAGGTAAAATATAAAATTTTTGACATCAAATGTCTGCATGTTTAACTTCGTTACTGTCCCTACATGAAATGCTAGCAAGTACCATAAAACGTAATTTACAGCAATATGTTTTAGTGTTTTCTTGTGAATGTGTATATAGCTGAATAAGAGGAAAGTGTAGCACTTTTTCTTTTTTTGATTCATTTCACAATTGTTTTCTATTAAGACAATAATAACTTGTTGAACCTGCACACTTGAATTATTCTCTGTTTATTAGCAATGGAAATAGACATTGGTCATTCTTTGAATTGTAAAACAATAGTGCACGGTTTGTCGTTAAATACTTTGTAATCTATCCGTTGGCCTATCGGTCTTCGTGATTATATACCTACGTATTTGAATTAGAACCGTGCATTATTCTACAACAATGCACTCAAAATTGATATCTATTTCCTAAGTTAATTTTTTTGCCCCTTAAAAGTGGGAGCATATAGCGTTGCACTTGTCCGTCCGTCCGTACGTCCCGAAATCTTGTGAATGCAACTCCTCTTAAATCGGATGGCAGATTTTGCTTAAACTTCCAGGGATGAACAATCTTAATGTGTAGATGGTAGTAAAGAAAGGAATTTTCGCTGCGACAAAATTTAACAGAATTATGGCCCTTTGTTGATTTTTTCACTATATACTATGTAGATATTTTGTGAACGCAACTCATCTTAAACCGGATGGCAGATTTTGCTTAAACTTCCAGGGATGAACAACCTTAATGTGTAGATGGTAGTAAATGAAGGAATTTTCGCTGCGACCAAATTTAACAGAATTATGGCCCTTTGTTGATTTTTTCACTATATACCATATAGAAATTTTGTGAACACAACTCCTCTTAAACCTGATGGCAGATTTTGCTTTAACTTCAGGGATGAACAATCTTAATTTGTAGATGGTAGTAAAGGAAGGAATTTTCGCTGCGACCAAATTTTACAGAATTATGGCCCTTTGTTGATTGTTTCACTATATACCATATAGAAATTTTGTGAACACAACTCCTCTTAAACCGGATGGCAGATTTTGCTTAAACTTCCAGGGATGAACAATCTTAATGTGTAGATGGTAGTGAATGAAGGAATTTTCGCTGCGACCAAATTTAATAGAATTATGGCCCTTTGTTGATTGTTTCACTATATACCATATATATATGTATTCAGTGGGGGCATCCGCCTTTGGACACAGTTCTAGGTTATTGTTTATTACTAGGGCCATAATTAATATAACAATTGTGCAGAAAATGGGAATAATTATTTAGTACCTCATTTTGTTTTGCGGTTTATTACATACACACTCACGTTGTTATGATTTATAACATGTATTTCAATATGTAAAATTCATATGATTTTGAAGGGTTTTCATGGCCAAGTGGTTAATGTTGCAGATTTTTAACACGTGCGTGCCCTTCTTCACTGTAGGTTCGAATCATCTCGTCAGGGTCTTTGGACTTTTTCATCCTGCTAGCTTACATAAGGTCGATGGCTCTACTTGGTTGCCTGCTCGTGTCCGAAATAATGCATAACAGTGTACTTGAATTATTCACCACCAATAAGGCTAGACTCTACAGTGTCGGCAAAAAAGTATATTTTCTTGAATAAATGTTATTATAATGTTGATACTTTTATCACCATACTGTAGACTTAGATAACCTCATTTCATTGCAATAGAATACCAGTGTCTATGTCGTCAGCTTAACGACAATTATATTTTTGTCAATTACTGCATTTCATGTTTAATGATTTATGAATGGTGAAATTCAAAATAAAGTCAGACATTTAAAAATGAGTTTTGTACTTTCTGTGACAATCAAGTACATCTATGTGTTGTATAGATCCATTTTAATGTAATAAATATCAAGTTTATATAATATAGTTCTCGGAATTGTTTGATGCCCAAAGTAGGGAAATATGATTTTTACAGTGAAAATCTCCTTTAGAACTACTCGGTAAATGTTCTTTATTAAATACGCTAATTCTATAAAAGCTGGACTAAGTACATAATGTATATCTGCACAGCAGATTCTATAGTTTTTGAATCAAGATTTTAAATATCTTCACATTGTGTAAGCATTGTTTAGAGTAACCTTTACATGTACTTATCTGATAAACTTATCCATGTGTAAACCAGAATTAAAATAAAACTTTTTAACTCAAACTTTTATACCACATTCACTTATCAAAGAAGTTCTGTTTCAATGTAAGATAGTGTATATATACATACAGCTTTGACTGGTATTGTCAGATGATTTTATCAACTTTGCTTTTGTGTAAAGATTTAATTTGTATCATTTTGTGAGAAACAAATATTAAAAAATGACACAAAATTGAAATTTGATATTGGAACTACAGCTAAAAGTATAAAAAAATAAAATAACCAAACAGTGAACATGTCGTTTGTCCAAATGTTAACTATTATGATTGTTTTAATTGGAGAACTATTAGTCTTTGTATCGAAAGATAATGAATAAAAATGAGCGTGGTATATAAGTCCGTCTATATTTCCATCATCGGATACCCACGGCCGAATCATTAACATTTATCGGCCGTAGTATTTTTGTATTTTACACACCTGTTGCTGTATATCAACGCAGATCGATTAATTTTACTCTCGGCTTGATTACATATTAATCAACCCTGGGTATCTGACGATGCTATATTTCATTCGGATGCGAAGTTTTAAAAAAACTCGGAGTACTCCATAAAATTGCCCGAACCCTCCCCATTGGCGGAAAATTAAAATTGGTCAGTGGAAACACTGATAAAGACCATTATGTCAACGTTACAAGTACAAATGTTGCCGCAATACTACAGCAATTGAGAAGCTCCGCGCAAAAAATGCGCTCATTAAAGAAACCTTGCCAAATCACCCCTACACACAGGTCATTTTTTATTTAGATTAAGTACTATTGTACATTATTCCGGATGTTTTGCAAATCATTTTAATTTGCATAGTTATACTTATCGTATGTCCATGAGAGAGGGGCCAGAAACAATATTCTTTCACTGATGCCTACCTGGTAAGGAAGGTAATTCCAATACACACAAGACTTACAAGACTTGTAATGTGACGTGACAGTAGTGCAACATTGTTATCTTTGTGTCACTTAGTCAGTAATAGTCAGTAATTATTAGTAATATTAGATGATAAAAATATCAAAGCAAGTACAATTTCTTTTTCACCTATAATGATACTAATTTCTACAAATATCAACACCTACTCATGGTAAAAAATATAAAAATCCATCAAATAAGCCAAAACAAAAACTTTCATCGACTTTATTTTTCAAAATGTCCGAGGCAAATGATATATCATGATATAGGAAGAAAAGCATCGGTGTAAAGCATCAAAGGGCGTCCAAGCAAGAGATGTAGCAAGTGACGATAAAATGGTAGAAATCTTATGACCAGATTTCTTTTCAATGGTTAATTGGATTTTACCAGAATTGTGTATCATAGATAAATAGACATTATTC